AAAATTTTGTAATTTTGAAGGGGGTGACCTACATTTTAGCCAATGTTCATGGACATTTCATGGAATTGATGTTAAATATGTATATTCTCATGAAAGGCAAAGATATTCGTTTGCATATCATTTCTTATTATTGACATAATTAATAAAATGATTAAATGCCAAGGGCAGATAAATCATATTGTCTGATTGAATACAGTGCTCAATTGTAAGCAAAGTGCTTAAATAACTGCAGTTCTGAAGAAATTTATTTTCTAATAATCTATCAAAAGTTCTAAATAACTTAAATATTAAGAGATTAACTAGATTTTCTAGGAAAACCATACCTTGGAACTCTTAATGAAAGCAAAGTGACCATCCTGAGAGTGTCCATGTGGTGTTCATTGTATGAGGGGAGGGTTCATTAATCCCCTCCTTCTTGAGAATGCATCGCTGAAATACATTTTATTTTATTAAAACATACTGATAAATGCATGTAGTAGCTTATATTATATTTTTTTATTATTTACACCATCTTTTGAATTTTTTATAAGCATTAGTGATGAAATAGCTTTAAAATATTCATGTTTAAATAGAATTTACTGAAATAAATATTTTTAAAAATATCTAAGAAATTGAAAAAAAATAACTGCAGATAAGCATGACTCTTGTTGTTCAAATAAACCACATTTTAAAAAAATTCCTTCATTTTCCTGTATCCTTAGAGTACAAAATCCCCCCCCCCTCTTTTCTGCAGAATAACAAGATTGGATATGGCAAGGAGGAAGGATATTCAGACACTTTTTTCATCATTTTTGCAATGATAATTCTGCAAATTTCTTAGATTTTCAATGTATTTTCTGCTAAAATATATTTTACTGTAATCTCAATTAAATTTCCTACTAGTAATCTCTAAGTTTTCCCCAAACTATAATTTTTATATCAAGCCAGCACTGATTACATGACTGAAATTGGCTTCGTTGCTGGATTAGGCCCCTTAAGTATAAACAAAGTAACCTAATTACTTAACAGCAGTCTAATTTTGTTATAAATTATTCAATCAACTCTAATTTACACAAATTTGAAAGAGGATTAGTCAATCTGTTCCAATGTCTGCACTCATAAAATAAATGGATTTAAATGAATTTCTCAAACTGCGAGGGGGATATTCACATGTTCTGTGTATTGATGGTGCCCATAAACATCAATATTGTATTATTTAGAATATTCACAGTAAATTTCAGCAGAAATATTTATTTTAAATTATTTACATGTACATTTATTGAAAATATGAGAGCTAGGGCAAAAATTTTAGCATTTTTTCACCATGTGCAGCCCCCATTGTGGGCCTCAATTTACCCAAACCCTCTATTTTTTTGAGAAATAGTAAAAACTAATTAAAATATGATCTCAATGCCAAAAAAATAGGAATTGATTGATTTTTTGGCTGTAATCAATGTTTTTCCATGAAATACATACCTATTCTATAGGACAAACACCACTAAATGTTTTCCCATAGACTTCCATACAAACTTGAGCCCCTGTCACTCATACATATAATGAATTTTGGGCAAATGGCCTTTTTGTCGTGAAAGTTCGAGATATTGGAAAACAAAACATGACAGAAAAAATATACTGTCACGCGGCACTTTTACTTTCAATTTCCATTTGTTTACAACAAGGTGCGTTTGACACCAAATGAAAATCTCTAACCAAAGGGCACCCCTCCTTTCAAATTTTTACCTGTAACTCCTACATATCTCAAAGAAACCCAAGTCTTGATATTACATTTTTATCAACTTTATTTCACTTGTCAAATACATATCAAGTCTTTTCTCTTATTGACCAATCACGCACCAGGTAGCATTTTCTCCTCCGCACAACTTTGGGTGTCCAAAATGTCTGCGCCCATGTATTTGTTTATGTAGGGGTTTTTCCTATAGAGTAAAAGAAACATTTATAAAAAGTGGTCAATTTAGTAAATTTAGAACACATATCCATTACTTATCTTACCTCTTGAATATTGGGACTGACAGTCTTAGCTTAAGTACACCATTGGCTGTTACATTTCACACCCCAGTCAATCAGACCCTCATCTGTAAAACAGAAAAAATGTCAATAAATTGAAGCATTTTTCTATTTTTCTTTCAAACTTTTAAAATAAAATGATTAATCTTGCATATGTTTTGCTTGTTTTTCTTATTATCTCTAATAATTTCTCAAGGTAGATCATGTTAATCATTCAGGGTAGCAGGTACCCGTTATTAACGGAAAATGAAGAAAATCAGCAGGTTTTTGTAAGAAAAAGCTGGGTAATGGAAAGAGTGAAATCTAATGTAGATAAAATAATCAATGGAAAGAAAGAGAATTATATGTAGTTCAAATGTACATAAGATTAAAAAAAAATCTATCAGCAGTGGGTTGCTGGCATCAGAGAATCAAATACATCCCCGCTGAAAATTTTGTAATTTTGAAGGGGGTGACCTACATTTTAGCCAATGTTCATGGACATTTCATGGAATTGATGTTAAATATGTATATTCTCATGAAAGGCAAAGATATTCGTTTGCATATCATTTCTTATTATTGACATAATTAATAAAATGATTAAATGCCAAGGGCAGATAAATCATATTGTCTGATTGAATACAGTGCTCAATTGTAAGCAAAGTGCTTAAATAACTGCAGTTCTGAAGAAATTTATTTTCTAATAATCTATCAAAAGTTCTAAATAACTTAAATATTAAGAGATTAACTAGATTTTCTAGGAAAACCATACCTTGGAACTCTTAATGAAAGCAAAGTGACCATCCTGAGAGTGTCCATGTGGTGTTCATTGTATGAGGGGAGGGTTCATTAATCCCCTCCTTCTTGAGAATGCATCGCTGAAATACATTTTATTTTATTAAAACATACTGATAAATGCATGTAGTAGCTTATATTATATTTTTTTATTATTTACACCATCTTTTGAATTTTTTATAAGCATTAGTGATGAAATAGCTTTAAAATATTCATGTTTAAATAGAATTTACTGAAATAAATATTTTTAAAAATATCTAAGAAATTGAAAAAAAATAACTGCAGATAAGCATGACTCTTGTTGTTCAAATAAACCACATTTTAAAAAAATTCCTTCATTTTCCTGTATCCTTAGAGTACAAAATCCCCCCCCCCCTCTTTTCTGCAGAATAACAAGATTGGATATGGCAAGGAGGAAGGATATTCAGACACTTTTTTCATCATTTTTGCAATGATAATTCTGCAAATTTCTTAGATTTTCAATGTATTTTCTGCTAAAATATATTTTACTGTAATCTCAATTAAATTTCCTACTAGTAATCTCTAAGTTTTCCCCAAACTATAATTTTTATATCAAGCCAGCACTGATTACATGACTGAAATTGGCTTCGTTGCTGGATTAGGCCCCTTAAGTATAAACAAAGTAACCTAATTACTTAACAGCAGTCTAATTTTGTTATAAATTATTCAATCAACTCTAATTTACACAAATTTGAAAGAGGATTAGTCAATCTGTTCCAATGTCTGCACTCATAAAATAAATGGATTTAAATGAATTTCTCAAACTGCGAGGGGGATATTCACATGTTCTGTGTATTGATGGTGCCCATAAACATCAATATTGTATTATTTAGAATATTCACAGTAAATTTCAGCAGAAATATTTATTTTAAATTATTTACATGTACATTTATTGAAAATATGAGAGCTAGGGCAAAAATTTTAGCATTTTTTCACCATGTGCAGCCCCCATTGTGGGCCTCAATTTACCCAAACCCTCTATTTTTTTGAGAAATAGTAAAAACTAATTAAAATATGATCTCAATGCCAAAAAAATAGGAATTGATTGATTTTTTGGCTGTAATCAATGTTTTTCCATGAAATACATACCTATTCTATAGGACAAACACCACTAAATGTTTTCCCATAGACTTCCATACAAACTTGAGCCCCTGTCACTCATACATATAATGAATTTTGGGCAAATGGCCTTTTTGTCGTGAAAGTTCGAGATATTGGAAAACAAAACATGACAGAAAAAATATACTGTCACGCGGCACTTTTACTTTCAATTTCCATTTGTTTACAACAAGGTGCACCCAAGTCTTGATATTACATTTTTATCAACTTTATTTCACTTGTCAAATACATATCAAGTCTTTTCTCTTATTGACCAATCACGCGCCAGGTAGCATTTTCTCCTCCGCACAACCTTGGGTGTCCAAAATGTCTGCGCCCATGTATTTGTTTATGTAGGGGTTTTTCCTATTGTAAATCACGTCTATTTTCACTTTCCTTACATGGTTCAAGGTCACTGCACATCCTTTAACCAAAGGGTGAAATATGAGCAAGATTGGGCCAAGGAGAAGAAAGATATGCTCCGGGCAAGAATTTAAACAGCGAACCCATTTTTTGACCTTGGCCCTTGACCTAGAAACTTTTGCACATCCATTGACCAGTGACACTCTGTAATATGCTCCTGACAAGGATTATACAAATAATTCTGCTATGAATTAACCTTAGACCTAGAAGCAGTTTCCATTGGACACAATTCACCCAAAGACACTCTGTGGGTGAAGTATGAGCCAAATTGGGCCATGGAGAGAGAAGACATGAGAATAAGGACAATAGATCTCGGACGGACAGTCAGACTGATCACTATAGGGCACCCGCAGAGTGGAGCCCTAATAAAGTTGCGTTATAATATGTGAGAAGATGCTTCTTCATGAAATTGATATTTAAAAGAAAAAAAAAACAAAACAAGGGGATGTATTTCTTATATTTATCTATTTATGTTCCTAAACAAACTGCGAGATTTTGATATATTTCGTCATTCTATAAGCCTGTACAATATAAACGGTAACCGTGAGTGGAATCTGAAAGATTTTTTTAATAGTTCTCTTACTAGTAAACAAATTACAATTTCCCTGTGCTTGCGCGGGATTTCAGCCGCACATATATTTTTTATTAGACTAGTTCTTGCTTTACAAATATGAGATTAATTTGAATTCTTTTTTTCTGCTCCGAATTGTATTGTTTAGCATTGTTTATTGAACTTTAAGTTTGAATACTTTTCGTTATCTCCAAATATTTTATAATGTACAAATATCTAACTTCATTTTTATATTAGCAAATGTCTTTAAAGTTATTTTAGAGGGAAATTTTTAATCAGAAAAAATGTGGAGGGTGGGGTTGGGGGGGTGGATTTCGGGAAAAGTCAGTTTTCTATATCTCTATCTGGAAGATAAAGTACAAGGTAGGAATGTAGGGTGTTCACGCATACACTGAGGTAATCTCTTACAAAGGTTCTGTCATAAATTCTGGACAATTAGGCAATACATTTATTTTTTCATTACGCAGGTTAGGAAATCCCCTTTCGTTTAGATTCGACCAATTCAGGTAATACTGCTTAGTTTTCTTTAGCATTTTTCGTAAAGCATTTGGAAAATTTACCATGCAAAAACATTTTGATTTTTTACAAATATATCTTATTTAATTGTATATCTAATTGTTTGCATTACTCATTGCGGTGTTTAAATAAAAAGTATTAAAACTTCGCACCCATCCCTTTGATCGACCTCCTTTTAGAAATTTACTATTGATATAAAAATGAAAGCAATTACATTTTAATTAAAAAACAATACTAAAAAATTACAATCATAGATTTAGGATCCCTACTGAAACTTGTAATATACTGTCATTTAGATTCATATTTTATATTCTCACAAACAAATATCCACAATGATTTCATTTCACTTTTATTGTCAATATCATTTTTGTAACTCTAGGAAGAACTCCTTCCGATTAGATTTCTAACTTCTTTGCGAAACATGGAATCAAATATTAGGTAAATAAAGACATTACAAGAATGGTTTATAACATATAACCTTCTTAGAAATAGATAGAAATTAAATTTAGTGTAGTCCAAACTGTCCCAAAACGTTGGATCTAAGGTCTCGTAGACCAACAAATATCGTGAGGGCGCATAGGAAAGCAAACCCATAAGAAGAATTGTCATGAATGTAAACGCAATGGTGTGTTCTAATTTTTGAGCGGCGGTTTGAGATTCTGAAATAGTGCGTCTGGTAGGGACAGGATCAGCGGTGGTGTCTGCTGATCGACCTTCTATCAAGGATGATGTAGTTGTAGGACAAGTGATCGTTACGCTTCTTATGCTTTCTGTGCGTGCTCTTCGTACTCCTCGCATGACCTTAAAGATTTTGATAGAAACTATGACGTAAATAGATATAATAGCAATCACGTTAGCTATAGACAGAATGAATCCTATTCCTTGAAAAATTTTCAGTCCAAATGTATGCGTCTTTATTTGCTGGCAGACAAATACTGTAATGTTGTTATTTGTGAAAACCTCCTCATTTATACTATAAAAATAAAGAACTGGTGAATACAGTGTAAATGAAACACCGACACAGATCACGATGCACCACCTTCTCCAGTGGTGCTTCAGTTGCCAAGAAAAAGGCCGACAAATTTTGCGAAACCGCTGGACAGCAATAACGTTCCAAAGAAACAATGACGTATTAATAAAAGAATAACTAAGGTATAAAACGCCCTTACACACTATATCTCCAGGAAACACATACTTCGTCAAGTTCTGTAAAAGATTTAATACGGATGTAAAAATTATAGCACCAAGGTCGCAAAATGCTAATGCACCAATATAGTACCGTCCATCAGATCGTGGAAAACGGAACTCATACACATAAAGAATGAGAGAGTTTCCTAACACCCCAACAAACAGGAAAAACAGGATCACTATTGTATTTGGGAGACTTCGCTGGATGTAGGCGTCGTTAAAACTCTCAAGGTCGATGGCGATTTCTTCTGTACCAACAGAACTGTTATCCATTTCACTCTCTTCTGATGACCTTCGCTTCCTTTTTCCTGCTTCTCCAGGAGTCTTAAAGATTTTCACTTTGGGTTTGAAATATTTTGGGTACGTATAACTTTACACATGGTGGTGGATTTCTTCCAAGGAAAGTATTCAATTGTTTTGTTGCTTCTTCTATATTGGGAATTCTGTCATTCAAAAAACCATGAATCACCGGATGCTTCAGATAAAGATAATTGTAGCTAAAATCAAGTGGTTTCACTGTTTCTTCCGCGTTTGAACAAACAGAATAATTGTAGAACTTAAATGTGTTTAGTGGCTTTAGAGGTATTTGTATTATATTCAGTCATCTTCTGAGTAAATGCTTTAGATAGCAATAATTGATGAATCAAATACTGATTTTTTTTAAACTTAAAAAAAATCACTTAAAATAAACTTATGGCCTGTTCGCACTGATAGTTTAACTAAGAGAAAAAAAACAAGGTTTTTTGGGGGAAATGCACTTTGTCGGTCACATGTTCAAATTATATGAAGCTTCTAAGTAGATCATATCACGTACGCTGTACAATGTTCAATCCCTATGTTCTTTTTTAAAGCTCCATACACATTTCCTTGTTTTTAACTAAGCCATGATCAGATGATGCTATCCGTACTCGGTGCGCATTTATAAGTAAAGCAAATTCGATTGACCGTGGTGAGTGAAATTAAAACCATACTTTCAAATACGAGGGCTTGTTCGAAAAGATCGTGGACGATGTTAATCTTCATTTTATTACATTCAAGAAATTTAAAATAGACACAATATAATATGTAAAATATTTGTTTTGTTGATGTGTAAAGTCTCATTCCATTTGATTGAACAGAAATCAGTTTACTTCATTTTAAATCAAAATCAATTTGTACCCGCGGAGCACAATTAGCGGCAATGTAACGTCAAAACCCAAAAATTTTTTTA